AGGACTTAACAATATTGTTAATTTGCCCTTGTGGAGGCCTGTGGTTACTATGTGTCACTGAGCCACCACTGACTTGGAGTGAGCAACATTGTGTATGAGACACTGCCTGCCCCTGCATCATCTTTACAATTGCTGGTTTGTTTTGTTTGAGTCCATTGTTTTCGTTATTGTGTCAGTCCATATCGTTAAGGTTTCCCTTATTTTCATTAACCCTGTAATTTATCAACCATGGTATCATTTTCTAGTGATTGGGTTTAAGTGAGTATTCCTTTTAATATGATATTTTAAAGTATGCTTACATAGCATATTTGTGTGTGAGAGTGTGTGTCTTAACAGATACACACACATATATAAATATGCAGCCTGTTGCTGTTAAATACTGTCGAATTGTTTCTGACTCATAGCATCCCTATATAAGGTTTGCAAGAAACGGCTGGTGGGTTTGAACCACCAACCTTATTGTTAGCAGTCCAGTGCTTAACCTATAGTATCACACACAGACATGCATATAAAGAGTATATATTTTGTATATAGTGTATGTTCTCACTTTTGCATGCTATTTCAATATTTCTTTAAAGTTCAGAATTTCCAGTAAAATGGGTAAAACAACGTCTCAAAATTTGACAAGTATTTTAATAATTTAAAGGGCTCAGGCTCTGAGTAACAGTTTGAGAACCAACTCTACTATTGTTATTTTTGTAGTAATTGTGGCGCTGTGGGATAAAGCTCTGGACTGCAAGGTTGGCAGTTCAAACTCACCAGACACTCCCTGGAAACCCTATATAGGACTGCTGTGAGTCAGAACTCATTTGACGGCACTTAATAACAACAAACATGCCTTGAAGGAGCCCTGGTAACATAGTGGACTATGAGCTGGGCTGCTAACCACGAAGTCAGAAGTTCGAATCTACCAGTAGCACCATGGGAGAAAGATGAGGTTTTCTGCTCTTGTAAAGATTTACAGACTTGGAAACTCAATACAGGGTCACTATGAGTTGGAACAAACTCCACGGCATGCAACCATTGCCAACCAAGACTTTCTTAATCTGATAGGATTAAATGAAATACTGGATATGAAAATACTGTCTCATTAACTGAGATATAGCAATAAAGTTATTTATCTTTGTCTTAAACACAGGTAATTTTTCAAGAACCCAAACAGCATTTTTGATAAAAATGTTGTTGTTGTTGTTGTTAAGGTCCATCGAGTCAGTTTTGACTCGTTGTTGTTAAGTGCTGTTGAGTTGGTTCAGACCCATAACAACCTTGTATAGGGTTACCGAAGAGCAGCTGGTGAGCTTGAACCTCCCACCCTTGTGGTTTAAAGCAACTTTGCAGCCAAGTGCATTAGCCCACAGTGTCACACAAGGACTCTTTTGACTCATAGTGACTCTCACTATAAGATTTATAAGTAGTGATACTACGTTTATGTCCTTAACATAGGAAAGTGCTTTTTACGTGAAAATCAGATATCTTAAACTACATGGACATCCCACCTGAATTCAGTTCCGGTTTCCTGGATTTCCTGATACCCTGCCAGCCATTCTCAGTTCTATGCCTGGAAAGACTGAACCCTTTATCAGAATAGACTGATCAACTGAAATCGCATCACCAACAGTAGAGTTCCCTTTACAATTTCTGTTCTAACTACTATTCTTCACACTCAACTGATCATTCTAGGATACAAAGGTCACCAATCGAGACTGCGTTTACTATCTGGAATCTGTGCCAGTCTTGCCTCCACCATCTTCATGGCTCTTTGCAAAGAACTTTATCATTTCTGTTTCTAGCTCAATCAAAGGGGGGAAAACGTGACATACTTTATTATAATCGCTCTATGAACACAACAAAGAGACAAACTTTGGGCAATGAGTGTGAAATTGGAAAAGAAAACTAGATTTCCAGTTAATGTCATTCACAAAAATAAATCACAAATGAATTAAGAATTAAACACAAAAATAAATAATGAAGCTACTAAAAATCTTTAGTTATGTTGAAAAGGGGTAACTATGCTACATAAATGCTGCAATCATCAAACAGAAAAAAACATGGAAAGTTCTGACTGTATAAATATTTTTAATGTTTACAGGACAAGACAAATAAGGGGGAATGTTTTAGGAAAGGATAGCTGTGCAAGTATATCTTTTAATAAATCTTTCCTTGTGGCTCTTTAAAACAAAAAAAGATAGAAGTCCAGTCTGAAACAGAGATGAAGAAAGTGTATCCCTTCAAAAATCACTAAGAAAATGCTACTCAGAGAATAAACTCTGTATCACAATAGTAGAGAAAAGTGTCCATCATGATAAAAACATTCTTCTACTGAGTATATTTCCCAGAGCGCCTTTCATGTCCCGGTTCCTCAAACTATAGATAAAGGGATTTAGCATGGGAGTAAGCAGAGTGTATAATACAGCCACAATGACATCCTTGTCATTGGACTTACTGGATGAAGGGAAAAAGTAAAGTCCAATAATTGTCCCATAGTACAAAGACACAACAGACAGGTGGGAACCACAAGTGGACAAGACTTTGCAGATTCCCTTGGCTGAGGGGACTCTCAGAATGGTAACCCCAATCCGGCCATAAGAGATCAGGATGCATATGAATGGAAGGGTAATGACCACACCCCCTACAGTAAAGATAACCAGTTCATTGGTTGTAGTGTCTGAACTAGACAGCTTAAATAAGGTAGAGAGGTCACAGAAGAAATGTGGGAGAGTGTTGTCTCCACAAAAAGAGAGACGAGCAAGGAGCAGGGTATGCAATAGAGCACTGGCAAAGGACTGGACCCAGGACAAAATGACTAGCAAAAAACACAGGCTCTGACTCATGATGGTGGTGTAGTGGAGGGGGTGACAAATGGCCACATACCTGTCATAGGCCATAGAGGTGAGAAGTAAGCTGTCAATATCTCCAAAAAATAAGAAAAAATACACCTGGGAAATGCAGCCAGCATATGAGATGGATTGTCTCCGTGATTGCATGTTCATCAGCATCTTTGGGGCTGTGACTGATGAAAAGGAGACATCAGTGAAGGCCAAGTGACTGAGGAAGAAGTACATGGGGGTGTGGAGGTGAGAGTCCAGTCTGATGAGCAGAATGATGAGGAGGTTTCCCAGCACCGTGGTGAGGTACATACCTAGGAAGAGGGTAAAGTATATGTCTTGCTGCTCTGGCTGGATAGGGAGCCCCAGGAGGAGGAATTCAGACACACTGCTTTTATTATTTCTCCTCATCCTGTTTTTCCGTTTTGCTACAGATGAAAAGAGAGATGAAAATATGAAAGAATAAGAAATAATTATAACAGTTACAAAATGAGAATATGTTTTAAAACTATTTAGTGAGTGAATCTTGACCTGAATATATCCTATTTTTTGTTCCACTGTAGACTACTAACCAAAAGGTTGGCAGTTCAATTCCACCAGCCACTCCTCAGAAATACGTACAATGTCACTATGAGTCAAAACCAACTTGGAGAAACTTAACAACAACAACAATTATGTGGGTCAGTAATGATTCACCTTGAGTTGTTAGGTTATTAAGTGTCCTTATATATTAACACAACCTGTTATTTACCAGATCAGATCAGGTTCAAACTGGAGGAGTCCAAAACTCCATGATAAATCTGAGATGAGGGAAATTATGGTGAAGGTTAGTTCAATAACCAATTGTTAGAAATACTAGTTTCTCTTCAAAGTTTGAACTTTCTTATTTTTCAATTCAAACCAGGTTACTCATGGTCAAGTTTTTACTATGCCAGGAGAGTACACTGTCATTTCCAGTCACTCCCTGTAACTGTCTGAGAAGCATCTCTTTGTAATTGTTTGCCTTGTCTCGTTTACAAAATAACACCTTCGCCTTATAAACTGATCATAACCTGGTTTTATGCCAGTGACACATAGCTGCGTTTTTCTTATACTCTATGGGTAATCTCATTTCTCTTTCTTTCTTCTTCAGATCAATTAGTCCTGTTCATATGGACATTGACAAAATAATTAGAAAAAGAAACATAATGCCTCTGTCTCCTATAAAATAGAACCCATGGAATATGTAGCTATAGCTCATCAATCTCAAAGTCTTTCACTTTGGATGTCTTGTTATGAACTCATCATTCACTTTGTATATTAAACAAAGATTCCATTATTGACAAATTCTCCCAACCTGACTACAAGATCTGTAAAATCCCTATGTTCTTCTGCCCACTAAATTTAAATTTTATATTGTTACCTAAGAAGTATTACACATTCATTTTTACTAGTCATTACCATGTTCATCTTAATCAGCATATCACTTTAAGAGTGCAGATTTGTTATCTGATTAACATTTAAGGTGTTCCTAATGTTGCAATTCCCTGGAATATTATAATGAATAACACAGTTCAGGGGTCCTGGTGTGGCACTGTGGGATAATGGACTGGACTGCAAGGTCGGTTTGAACCGCAAGGTCGGCTATACAGGTTTGCTCTGAGTTGGAACTGAATCAATGGCATTTAATAACAGCAATTTATAGAGCCCTTATAGGACAGAGAAGAACTGTCTCAGGATTCCCAAGTCTCTGTGAGTTGTGACAGATTCAACTACAACAGATTTTGAATTCAAACTCTACAATTTCATTTTAAATAAATCATTCTATAGATATATTTCCAAGTGCACATGGAAAATGACATATGAACCATGTTGCCTTTTCTACCATAATGTTTTTGTTGTTAAGTGCCGTGGAGTCAGTTCTGACTCATAGTGACCATTTATAGGGTTTCCTAGGAACAGCTGGTTGGTTTGTACCACCAACCCATGATTGGTAGTCCACACCAGGACTCCATATTTCCGCCATAACAGAAAGTTGTAAGTCTATTTTCAGAGCAGTGGAGCACCAGTGAAAAGTTTAATAAAGTCAGTTGTTTAAAGATTTTAAAATCGTGGGGGCTACTAGGTGGAGAACAGAGTATATGTAGTTAAGCATGAGTATTCAGTTAATTAAAGACATTTCAGTGGATCAGGAAACCCTGGTAGTATGTGAGTAAAGTTCTCAGATGTTAATCAAAAAAATCCCACTAACTCCTCTGTGAGACAAAGATGTCCCAATCTGCTTTTCTGTAAAGATGTACAGCCTTGGAAACCCTGAAAGGTAATTCTGCTCTGTCCTACAAGGGTCTCCATGAGCCAGAATCAACTCAATAATCATGGGTTTGAGGTGTTTTGTTTGCTTGTATGGATGCAGTACAAGAACAGGTTATTGGCTGTGTATACCTGAATTATGGCAGGAAGGATGAAGATAAGTGAAGAGATTAGGGATAAAATTCAGAGGAAAACCACTCTAACTCAACAGGGGATGAAAGATAAATGACAGGAGATTTGTGTTTGTCCTGCCCTCTAAGAGTATGGATAACTGATCAGTTCCAGATAAAATACTCTACATGGAGATGTCTGTCTTACTCTCATTTGAGGAGTAGTAAAATGCTAGTAATCACCAGCATTAACTGAACTCTTGTACCCATAAACACACACAAACACAGATAATCATATGGCTGAATCTAAATTCTGCTCCTGCTCTAACATGGGCTCTTAGGTGATGAGCACAAATACCTTCAGCTACAAGGCATGGATGGTTCTTCCATTTCTCTCAAGAAGACCCAGAATCGTACAAAGCGAAGTTTCTGAGTCTCAAAGATACACTGCAGCAGGGAGAAGAGTTATCTACTCAAAGCCAAACAAGGTATTCCGACATTTTTATTGACAACTCTTGAGAATGGGCATGGGATCTAACTTTATAAGTCACAGAGAGACCCCAGAGGAAAGACCCCAGGCTCCAAATTAGAGATAAACAACAAACAATTGCTTCATTTTCCCTCAGATTTCCTTTGGGGAAACAATTGTCTGTTGATTGCATTCAATAGGGGAATTCACATCCTCAGAGGAATGATAATAATATTAGCACAAAGCATTTATTAAGAATTTGTTGATTCACAAAACTTTTTTTCCTTCTCAGTGTACATTGGGGAAAATGTGATTAAAGGAGCCCATAATAAACCAAGCTGGAGGTTGAGTGTGTTAAGAAAGGTCTTTTGTTTCTGAACTGCTTATTACTTCAAGAACTCCACCTTTGTACTAACAGTTGGATTGTCCATCTGTTTCATTTTTGCCACTAAACAGAGTGTGCAGTAGTATGTGATTTTGATTTTATTTTGCATTTCTATGTTGAAGATTACTTGAAGCACTTACTGATGAAGGTTAAAGACTACAGCCTTAAGTGTGACTTACACCTCAACTAAAGAAAACAGAAATCCTCACAACGGGGCCCAAAAGCAACCCCATGATAAATGGAGAAAAGATTGAAGTTGATAAGGATTTCATTTTCCTTGGATCCACAATCAACACCCATTGAAGCAGTAGTCGAGAAATCAAATGACATAATTGCATTAGGCAAATATGCTGCAAAAGACATTATAGTAGTGTTAGAAAAGGAAAAATAAGGTGAGCCTGACCCCAGAAATGACATTTCAGTCACTTCATATGCATGACAAAGCAGGACAATGAATAAGGAAGACTGAAGAAGAATTTATGCATTTGTATTATGCTGCTGGTAAAAATATTGAATATACCATGGACTACTAGAAGAACAAACAAATCTGTGTAGGATGAAGTACAACCAGAATGCTCCTTAGAAGCTGGGATGGAGAGACTTTATCTCACATACTTCAGATATGTTGTCGGAAAGGAGTAGTCGCTGTATAAGTATGCTTGGTAAAGAAAAGGTCAGTGAAAAACAGAAGACCCTCAGTGAGATGCCTTGATGCAGTGCCTACATCAATGGGCTCAAGACTAGCAACAATTGTGAGGATGGCACAGGATTCAGTAGTATTTTTTTCTGTTGTACAGTCATTATGAGTTAGAACTGACTAGGTAGCACCTACTAGTAACAATGTTGACAAGGTGTTGGGTACTTAATCATGTACTTATTTTATTTTGCAAAATGTTCCTTTTCTTATGGAATTGTATTTTATTATGTTGTAGGAGCTATTTATGTTGTTGTTGTTAAGTGCCATTGAGTCGTTTCTGACCCATAGCAACCCTGAACAGGGTTTCTGAGGCTGTAAATCTTTACGGGAGCAGAAAGCCTCATCTTTCTCCCGTGGAACCGCTGGTAGTTTCGGACTGCTGACTTTGAGGCTAGCAGCCCAACTCATACCCACTACGTTTGAAATTTTATTCTGTATTTCACCTTTTTGATCAGAGTTCCATAGAATTTTTTATTAAAATGTTCATTAATGGTAGTTACTACCATTAATAAGGAGCTCTGGTAGCGTAATGGTTATGAATCAGGCTGCGAACCGCAAGGTCAGCAGTTCAAAACTACCAGCTGTTCCGCGGGAGAAAGATGAGGCTTTCTGCTCCCGTAAAGATTTACAGCCTTGGAAACCCTGTACAGGGTCGCGATGAGTCGGAACCGACTCGACGGCACTTAACAACAACAACAACCATCCAATGTTTCTAGTCTCATGACAAAGGGGACGGATGTTCACAGAGACAATTAGACACACATTCCATTTCTTCCTACCATTCCTGACCCTACTTACTCTGTTATTCTAGGCAAATTGATCAATTAATGTACCATTGCAAGCTTTTAAGAACCCAGACCCTGCTCAATGAATTAGGAGGAAGAAGCACTAAACACATTACTAGGCCAACTAACTGTGTGTCCCATGAAACCATAACCCTACACTTCCAAACCAAGGAATCCAATCCCATGTGGTATTCGGTTGTACATAAGAAGCTTTACCAGCTACTTAGATATTTTTCTTTAATCACTGTTTAAAAGTACTTACCATACAACTTTTATCAATTCATCTTTTCAGAGATATGTAACATATTGACAGCAATTCATCTACTGTGCCACCATGCCATTAATCATTGCAATTTTTTCATCCTTATCAATGGAAACTCAATGCTCCATCAGCAATAAGTCACCCTTTCTCTCCCTCCTAGCCCTGGTCATCACTAATAAACTTTGATCTTGACATAGTTGCCTTTTCTTTTTATATATTTATATTAAATATAAATATTTGTCCTTTTGTTATTGACTTATTCCACTCAGCATAATGTCTATAAGCTCCTTCCATATTGTAGAATGTATCAAATGAAAATTATTTTTCAGTTTGCTGTGTAGTATTTCTTTGTATGGTAAATATGCTGCACAAGACCTCTTTATTGTGTTGAAGAGCAAAGATGTCATTTTGAGG